CGCCAGGATGGTCTCGATCTCCTGACCTCGTGATCCGCCCGTCTCGGCCTCCCAAAGTGCTGGGATTACAGGCTTGAGCCACCGTGCCCGGCCCCAATATAATGTTTTTATGTTACGTAGTAACAACAGTGATACATATGAACAAGGTACACAGTACAATATTAGTACCAGGAAACTGGCCTGACGTGGTGTATGTGGTGGCTCACGCCTGTAATCCCAGCACTTTGAGAGGCCGAGGCGGGCGGATCACTTGAGGTCAGGGGTTCGAAATCACCTGGCCAACATGGTAAAACCCCATCCCTACTAAAAATACAAAAATTAGCTGGCTGTGGTGGCACATACATGTAATCCCAGCCACTCAGGAGGCTGAGGCAAGAGAATCGTTTGAACCCAGGAGGCAGAGGCTGCAGTGAGCAACAGAGTGAGACTCTGTCTCAAAAAAAGAAAGAAACAAACAAACAAAAACGAGGAAACTGACATTGATACAATCAAAAGACCACGAATAGAGATGGTTTAAATGTGAAAATTCCCTTCCCAAGCACTCTCCCTTAGAATGCTACTGGAATGGGGCCAGGGAGGGTGGCTCATGCCTATAATCCCAGCACTTTGGGACGCTGAAGCAGGAGGATCACTTGAACCCAGGAGTTTGAGACCAGCCTGGGCAAAAAACTGAGAACCCCCCAACTCAATTTTTAAAAATTTAGAAAAAAAAATTTTTTTTAAAAAGCTACTGGAATGTGTTCCACTAAAGTAAAAAGTAATACGCCTATAATCCCAGCACTTTGGGCGACCAAAACGGGTGGATCAAGAGGTCAGAAGAGCAAGACCATCCTGACAAACACAGTGAAACCCCGTCTTTATTAAAAATACAAAAAATTAGCCAGGCGTGGTAGCATGTGCCTATTTTCCCAGCTACTCGGGAGGCTGAGGCAGGAGAACTGCTTGAACCTGGGAGACGGAGGTTGCAGTGAGCCAAGATCATTGCGACTTTGCACTCCAGCCTGGGCAACAAAGCAAGACACGGTCTCAAAAAAAAAACCCAAAACAAAATAAAAAACAAGGCCAGGCATGGTGTCTCACGACTGTAATCCCAGCACTTTGGGAGGCTGAGGTGGGTGGATCCCCTGAGGCCAGGAGTTCAAGACCAAGACCAAGGTTGCAGTGAGCCAAGACCGTGCCACTGCACTCCAGCCTGGGGGACAGAGCAAGACTATGTCTTAAAAAAAAAAAAACAACAAAAAAAGAAGTAATGCAAAAGCAAAGATGTGGAATTCAGGAAATAAGAGGATCTAACACAGTATGAGGCCAAAGGAATTCCCAGGATGATGGTGAAGAAAAAGCCCAAGAAGACATCAGTGCAGCAACCTGGAGAGCAACACTCTTAGAGTGGAATAGTATCAAAGGGCTCAGGGAGCAACTTCTTCATGATGAAAGTGACAGAATATCTAGAACGCCTGAACACACCAAAGGATGATCTGGGAAACAAACTGTTCAGCAGAAAAGGCAAGGTATCACAGTAACATAGTTGAGCTGTGAAGAGCATTTATACAGTCCTTAAAATCTATTTTTTTTTTTTTTTTTTTTTTGAGATGGAGTCTCACTCTGTCGCCCAGGTTGGAATGCAGTGGTGCGATCTCGGCTCACTGCAAGCTCCACCTCCTGGGTTTACGCCATTCTCCTGCCTCAGCCTCCCGAGTAGCTGGGACTACAGGTGCCCGCCACCATGGCTGGCTAAGTTTTTGTATTTTTAGTAGAAACAGGGTTTCACTGTGTTAGCCAAGATGGTGTCGATCTCCTGACCTCGTGATCCACCCGCCTCGGCCTCCCAAAGTGCTGGGATTACAGGCATAAGCCACTGCGCCTGGCTGACAGTCCTTAAAATCTTACAATGTAAATCCTGAATACAATCTAACCAAAATTGTTCCATAACTACTAGTGAGGAGTTTGGAGAGCATAAAATGCGCATGTTTGTGGTGGGAGAAAGGGAGTGAGGAGAGAGGTAAATCTTTGGCTTCCATGGTTTATGGTTAATAAATAAGGCCTAAATCCAATACACCAGGAAGTACCAATTAGAGGCTGAGACAAGAGAATTGCCTAAGGCCAAAAATTGAAGACCAGCCTGGGCAATACAGGGACACCCCATCTCTAAAAAAAAAGAAAAAAACAATTTTTTTTTGCCAGGCACAGTGACTCACGCCTATAATTCCAGCCCTTTGGGAGGCTGAGGTGGGTAGATCACCTGAGGTCAGGAGTTCAAGATCAGACTGACCAATATGGTAAAATTATGTTTCTACTAAAAATATAAAAATTAGCCAGGTGTGGTGGTGCATGCCTGTAGTCCCAGCTACTCAGGAGGCGAAGGCATGAAAACTGTTTCAACCTGGTAGGCAGAGGTTGCAGTGAGCTAAAATTGTGCCACTACACTCCAGCCTGGGTGACAGAGCGAGATTCTGTCAAAAAAAAAAAAAAAAAAAAAAATGGCCAACCACGGTGGCTCATGCATATAATCCCAGCTCCTTGGGAGGCTGATGTTGGAAGAATGCTTGAGCAGGCTGCAGTGAGTTATGACTATACCACTATAATCCAGCCTAGGCAGGAGAGTAAGACTTCGTCTCAAGAAAAATACAAAAACAAAACGAAACTAAAGGCTGGGCATCACGGCTCACACCTGTAATCCCAACACTCTGGGAGGCCGAGCTGAGGCAAGAGAACTGCTTGAGGTCAGGACTTCAAGACCAACCTGGGCAACAAAATGACACCCTGTCTTCACACAAAATAAAATAATTAGCTAGCCTTGGTGGCATGCACCTGTAGTACAAGCTACTCGGAAGGCTGAAGTGGAAGGATCACCCAGAAGTTTGAGGTTGAAGTGACCTATGATTGTGCCCATGCACTCCAGCCAGGATGACGAAGTGAAAACCAGTCTCTAAACAAACAAACAAAAAACAAACCATAAATAAATATCAAAATAAAAAAGAAGGCTGGGGGTGATGGCTCACGTCTGTAATCCCAACACTTAGGGAGGCCAAGGCAGATGGATCACCTGAGGTCAGGAGTTCGAGACCAGCTTGGCCAACACGGTGAAACCCCGACTCTACTAAATACAAAAATCAGATGGGCATGGTGGTGGGGGCCTGTAGTCCCAACTACAAGGGAGGCTGAGGCAGCAGAATCGCTTGAACCCAGGAGGCAGAGGTTGCAGTCAGCCGAGGTCGTGCCATCACTCCAGCCAGGGGGTCAAGAATGAAACTCCATCTCAATCAATCAATCGATAAGTAAAAAGAGTCGAGAAAAAGTATATGGGCTGGGCCTGGGCGGCAAGAGCGAAACTCCATCTCAATAAATAAATAAATACATGCATACATACAAACAAACACAGAGTTGAGAAAAAGTATATACGCTGGGCACAGTGGCTTATGTCTTTAATCCTAGCCTCTGGGATGCCAAGACGGTGGACTACTTGAGATCAGAAGTTCAAGACCAGCCTGGCCAACACACAGAAATACAAAAAGTTAGCTAAGCGTGGTGGGCACGCCTGTAATCTCAGCTACTTGGGACGCTGAAGCAGGAGAATCACTTGAACCTGGGAGGTGGAAGCTGCAGTGAGCCAGGATCATGCCACTATACTCCTGCACTCCAGCCTGGGTGACAGTACAAGATTACATTTGACCAAAAAACAAAACAAAACAAAACCCCAAAACATGTAAGTGGAATACTGCATATCATTTCTAGAAAGTTCAAGAAAGAGGCCGGGTGCAGTGGCTCACGCCTGTAATCCCAGCACTTTGGGAGGCTGAGGCGGGCGGATCACGAGGTCAGGAGATTGAGATCATCTTGGCTAACACGGTGAAACCCCGTCTCTACTAAAAATTAAAAAAAATTAGCCGGACGTGGTGGCGGGCGCCTATAGTCCCAGCTACTCGGGAGGCTGAGGCAGGAGAATGGCATGAACCCAGGAGGCAGAGCTTGCAGTAAGCCGAGATTGCGCCACTGCACTCCAGCCTGGGCGACAGAGCGAGACTCCGTCTCAAAAAAAAAAAAAAAAAAGAAGTTCAAGAAAGAGAACTATTACAGGGAAACATGGATTTATGAAATCTTTTAACAGGATGAAGATACTCCAGAGGAACGTAATGAATGAGTCAATGTCCCTGAAAAGGCAACAGGGGAATTCATCTAGTGTATAAGTAGGAGAAATTAGCTTAAGATAAAATAAGGTTCTTCTTTCCTTTCAGAATTACAAGAGGAAAGAACGGATATGTATTAGCGAGGTGCATGGATGGCGCATGCAGGAAACACTCACTTTAATGATGTTGTCAGGAGCTCTGTTCATGTTGAGGTTCTTGATTCTCACTGTCAGTTGGCGGGCAGTCTTGCAGGTTAGAAGGTACTTGCTGATTAGAGGGTTAAGAAACTCAGTCCCTTCAAAATGCTTCAGTCCTAAAGCTAACAAACTGAGAAAGGAGCAATGACACTAAATCTCACTTCACAGTCCTTCCTTCTAAAGGGCCTCCCCAGACTAACACATTTTACAATCTACTTTTTCTCATTTTTTCTAAAGACAAGGTCTCACTCTGTTAACTGGGCTGGAGTGCAGTGGCACAATTGCAGCCCACTGCAGCCACTACTTCCTAAGCTGAAGCGATTCTCCAGTCTCAGCCTCCCAAAGTGCTGGGATTACAAGCATGAGCCCATGGCGTGTGGCCCAATCTATTTTTTCATTTTTTCAGACAGGATCTTGCTCTGTTGTCCAGGCTGGAGAGCAGTGGCATGATTACAGTGCATTGCAGCCTTGAATGCCTGGGTTCAATTGATTCTCGCACTTCAGCCTCCTATCTGTGGCCATAAATGTTTGCTACCATGCCTAGCTAATGTTTTCTTTCATTATTTGTACAGACCAGTTCTCACTTTGTTGCCCAGGCTGATCTTGAACTCCTGGCCTCAAGCGATCCTCCTGCCTCGGCCTCCCAAAGTGCCAGCATTACAGGTGTGAGCCGCCATGGCTGGCCAATCTACTTTTTTGACAACTAATTCTTATATAAGTTGGTGACTACTCAGTAGAAAATTTCAGGTATTTAGTGAGTAGTGATTAAGTACTATGAATAAGAATCAAATAGTTCACAATTAAGTAGGAGCAAGAGAAACTAGTCATAAATCATTAATAAATGTCAGAGCGTGATGAGCCGTATATTAACAATACAAAGGAAGTTCAGGCCGGGCGCGGTGGCTCAAGCCTATAATCCCAGCACTTTGGGAGGCCGAGACGGGCGGATCACGAGGTCAGGAGATCAAGACCATCCTGGCGAACTCGGTGAAACCCCGTCTCTACTAAAAAATACAAAAATCTAGCCGGGCGAGGTGGCGGGCGCCTGTAGTCCCAGCTACTCGGGAGGCTGAGGCAGGAGAATGGCGTGAACCCGGGAGGCGGAGCTTGCAGTGAGCTGAGATCCGGCCACTGCACTCCAGCCTGGGCCACAGAGCGAGACTCCGCCCCCCAAAAAAAAAAAAAAAAAACCACAAAGGAAGTTCAAAGAGAATACATGGGAAGGAAAATGATCCTAATAAAACAAATATAAAATGAATAATAAGTACCCTGTCAGACAAATTAAACTGGCACCAATACTATCATCTAACATAACATATATAATCATGGTTACATATATACATATTTGCTGATAACAGTGTGGCAATACACACACAGAGCCATAAAAATGTTCATAATCTAGATGGGCGCGGTGGCTCATGCCTGTAATCCCAGGACTTTGGGAGGCCACGAGTGGGTGGATCATTTGAGGTCAGGAGATCAAGAGCAGCCTGGGCAACAGAGACCCTCACCTGTACACAAAAAATTACCCATGTATGGTGGCACACGCCTGTGGTCCCAGCTACTCCATGGAGGCTGAAGCAGGAGGATCGCTCGATCCCAGGAGTTCAAGGCTGCAGTGAGCTGTGATTGCAACACTGCACTCCAGCCTGGGTAAAAGAGTAAGATCTTGTCTCTAAATAAATAACACTAAAAGTGAACCTCCTGCCTTGGCCTTTCAAAGTGCTGGGATTACAGGTGGGAGCCAACACATCCGGTCTAAAACAATTTAAAAATGTGTGTGACATCCCCCAGAAAGCAGTATTTGGCACAAACAAGCACATCCTAGAGGAATCTGCTCATCTATACTGCTCTTCCTTTTGTCTTTTGTGTCCATGTTTTATTACACAAATCTTACTTCCCCTAAACTCCTCAAAGGAACTATGTCTTCTCCTTGGGATATTCTGCTGTTTTGATCCCCCAGAGTAGACACTTACTTGTCCTCAGCCTTGGTGAAGAGTATCTTATCCTGGGGATTCTTTGCCTTCAGGGAACACACTGGAAGTAACTCTGGGTACATGAAAACCTTGCTTGTGGCCAGGATCCAAGCCACTTGCTTTGGCAAACAGGGAAATTCATTGGCTATAAGAAAATAAATCTCGGATAAATC